ATTTACAGGATGAAGATCCCTGCATAGAAATTAATTTGTACTCCAGCAAGCATGGTCACAGGATCCATGAAGGATGACGCAAAGCAGTCCTGTTGCTGTTGCTGCTGCCATCTGAATGCCTGAGATGGCCACACTAATGTGGCCTGTGAGCACACAGTGTGAACACCCCTCACAGTTACTCATTCGCAAGTGCAGTTCTCTGAGCAGTCTTGTGCACGTGCCCTTCACCTCTCAGTCCTGCAGCCAACCAGCTGGTGCAGCTTAGATGAACATAAGATGCGCCCTTCCCTCCCCACTTGTGCACAGACCACATGGGAACACCTATGGGAGCTGCAAAGAAAGCCCAGGCACTGGGATCACAGGCCTGGAGTCTGTATGCACCCACGGGGAGAACAGATGAAAAGACAAACATTCAAAGCATAAAGCAACCAAACTAGCACTTGTCATGTCACTAAAAATCATTAGGGTGATGCATAAGACTTAGAAATTCACTTCTTTCTCTTTTAAATATTTTGTGACTTTTTAAACTAATCAAGCCCCCCAACTTCTTCCCCACTCCCATGCCACTATAAGAAATTTCAGAAAATAGGTAGTGGACATATAAAAGCCCACAAAACACACCCAGCCACCCCAGACAACTTGGGAGAAGGAAGGGTACCTAGCTGGATGATTGTTGGCTTCCCCCATGTCAATATTTTTTGTATGCTGTCTGGTGAAGCTGTAAGTTCTCTGCAGCAAGAGCAAAGTGTATGCCCTGATCCCAAGCAGGTCCTGAGTGAGCCATAGAGGAGGGAACAAAAACAAGACCAGTGCTCCAAATGGAGAAGATGGCTGCTCAGATCCAATACAACAGGGCAAAGAGATGTGCTGGCATCAGGATTTCATTTTGGAGAACTGGATCCCTCTAGTGAAGCACTTACTGCAGCCCCAGCACAAAAGGATGTGAGCTACTAGCAACTCTAGCCCTAGAGTTTGCACACAGATCTTAAGAACAAATACAAAAGCTTTGCTTCCAGGCAGGAAATCCCTTTTACCACACCTTTCTGATTTACACCGATGCTTGATACACACCACATGTGTCCCCTCCTTCCTTCACCCACATTCACAATGGTCCTGTTCCATATTTAAGTGATGAAAAGTTAAGACCTGTGGTTACAACTTCTATGAAAAGCTTCATTTTGAAGGCTGCTACATTTCAATTTTATTGCCATGAGGAAAACTGAAAAAAAAAGAGGCAAAATATTTCAGTTCTTCCTTAACATGAAAGCTGTTGTGAAGACATTTAATAAGTGTCAGTTCTCTCCTGCAAGTTGTTGAAATATTGAAGGTGGGAAAATTTATTCTTACAAATGTTTTGTATGAGTCCTATCCACAATTTTATGCATGACACTTAATTTCTTCTGTTCAAGGTGGCTGTGGCAGGCTCCTGAAGTGCACCTCAGCAGGCAGAGCTTAAAACAAACCCTTTAACCCTTCAACAAGAAGAAAACCAAGGAATAATATCGAGATTGCTTCAGCTAGGAGACCAAGTGAAAGACGGAACACAAAAACTCACCCACCTGCCTGCGTGTGGGAATAGAGGGACATTCATCTTGGAGAGATCAGAAGTTATGTGGGGAAACAGCGGGAGCAAGAGCCATCAGAAAACTGGCAAATGCATCTGTTTTTTCCATTCAGCACCGTGCTGCTGAGTAGATCTCTGCAAAATTTCCTCTGTTCTACAGACCTGCCCAGTGGGATCTGTCTGGTATTAATTGGTCTTCAAAATTACTTATGGAAATATCTTCAGCTAATTTTTGTAAGTCGTTGAGTAAGAAAAAAAAAGTTTGGTGTTCTTCGGTTTAGATTTTAAAAAAAAGAAAAAAGCAAGCAAGAGAGAAAAATCAATGGATTCTTGCATGTGGACATGGTATTCTTAAAATAAATGCCTTCTTAAAAGAAACGCCTTAGGACCTTAGGACGGAGACGTGGCCCTAACTTTTCTACGCATTTTCTTTGTGTGAATTAAGGGCCGAGAAAGGTGAAAGCCTTTTGTGTACTGCGGACCGGGTGGGGAGGAGGGAAGCAGCGGGAAGCCGAGGCCAGGCGGTGACCTTCGAAAGACCGTGGATGGCAGAGAGGTCCGTAGCAGGAGCAGCCCCAGCTGGGCACCAGCTCGTGGAGACCGACCGCCACCAAGCCCGGCGGGGAGCCCAGGGGCTGCGGCGGGCACAGAAACGCGAACAACGGCGACGTCCGTGGGGAAAGGCAAAGGCTCCCGAGAGCCGCGGGAGGAGCGCGGGACGGGGCGTGCACAGGCATCCCGGGGCTCCCATGCCCGGTCTCAGCCAGGACCCGCGGCAAAGTCTCCTCTAGGGTCGGCGCTGCCGGCTCGGGGACGAAGGGAACCGGAGGACGGGGCGAGGGGGATATGAAAAGCCCCGCTCCCCCGTGCCGGTCTTTTGTTCCCGGGGGCTGGCACCCGCCGGATCCACCGGCAATGGGCTGCCGAGCTCCGCCGAGCTCCCCGGTTCCCCTCGCTGGGGAAAGAAAGGGTACGGGAATACTCCCCTGCCCGGTGTCCGGCGGCAGAGTGCCCGGGCGAGACACGGCCCCGCTGGGCGAGGAGAGAGCAGGGCAGGCGGAGCAGGACCGCCCGGCTCCCGCAGCCCCCCGCTGCCGCGCCCGCCCCCCGTTCCGGCCCCGGGGCTCACCGTCCTCGTAGTTCTTGAGGTAGTAGTCGGGACCGGGCCCGCCGCGGCTCTTGGCCGGGTTTTTCACGTTGTGGAACTGGAGAAAGTCCGTCCTCTTGCCCGCGAAGCGCAGGAAGGCGGGGGCCAGGCCCCGCGCCAGGGTCACCAGCCGCCGGGAACTGGGGAGAGAAGCGAGAGGACTGAGGGCGCCGAGGGCCGAGATGGGCCCTCGCTTCCCCGGTACCGTCAACGACCACCGACCACAGGGCTCGAGGACCCGCCCGTGGCGGTGCGACGCGGTACCACCGGCTGCGGGGCTCCGCGCCGGCCGAGCGGCGCGGCCCCGGAGCGAGGAACGGCCCCGCCCGCCGGTGGTGGCCCGGAGGCCGGCGGGCCCGGCTTCCCCCCGCCCTGCCGGCGCCCCCCGGACAAGTGCAGCGGCGTCCCGGAGGCAGAGGCGCTCAGCCCCACGCGGGACCGTGCCGCGGGCCGAGCCACCGGGGAGAGGAGAGAAGCGGGGAGGAGAGAAAAGCGGGAGCCGTCCCGGCTCCGCTTCGCTCGCGCCTTCCCGTATCCTCGCCCCGCTCATTTCCCGGCAGCCGAAAGGACCCTCGGGGAGGGCGTACGGAAGAGACCCGCTCTCCCTCCTCGACTTACCCAGAAGGGAAGGGGCTTTCTGGCTGTCCCAGCACCTCCAGGCCGCGGGCGCTCCGCACCGCCGGTGGAGCCAAGCGCAGCTGCAGCCCGGCTCAGCCCCCCACGCAGGGCTGGAATTCCGGGGAGCGGAGGGCTCAGAAGACCTAGCCGACACCCGCTCTCCGCCCGTCGGGACCCGGGGAAGGCTCGGCTCAGCAGGCGGCCCCGTTCCTGCTGCTGTTTTTTGTTTGGTTTTGACTTTTTTTTTCCCCTGTGCTGCCTCGGCCCCTTGTTGTGCTTTTTGCAGAGGAGCGGTTGCCGGAGCGAGGGGAGCACGACATTTTTGCAGTCATAACTGATAAGTCTCCGAAATGCTTTCTCCATTGCAAACATGTGCATCTTAATGGAAACCATGGCCTCACTCCCTCCGTCACAACAAGCGCCAGCAGCGCGGAGCCCGGCAGGGCTGGGCGGCGGGGCCGCCAGGGCGCCCCGCGGGCGGCGTGGGGAGGGCGCCGGGGGGCTCCTGCCTTACCTTAAGAAATCGAGCCAGCCATCATGAATGATGGAGGGGTCCAGCTGCAGGGAGAGGAAATTCTCACTGATTATCCTGACAGGGCTCTTGGTGTTGACATCAAGGAGAATGAGAGTTCTTCCCTTCACACCTGAAGGTTTCTCCACCGGCAGTGCTCTCCTGTCCCCAGCCTGGGAGGGCAGCGAGAAGGCGGCCATGAGGGCCAGCCCAGGTGCCATCAGGGCTAAGAGCCCTGGGGGGCAGGAGCTGGGACAGGGCATGCCTGAGAGCAGGAAACCCCTAATTAACTCGCTGTCTGCAGGGGCTCGCTGGTGGCTAATTGTCCTTATCTAAAGTGTGGGGCGCTCTGCCTTTTTTTGCAATGTTTTGGTGTTGGTGGAGGGGAACTCACGCCCCTGACCAGCCTTTCTCGCAGCCGGTGCCAAGACTCCTTGCAACCAGCACCGCCCCTTTAAGAGATGCAGGCTCCAGACATTTTTAACTTTTTGAAGGTAAGGGGAGGCTCCTGGTTTAACCCCCTCGGCTCGGGGTCCGCCGCCCTGCTGCAGCCCCGCCAACACCGAGCTTTCGCTTTGCGCCGGCTCCGGGGGCCGCTTTCAGCCGCGGGAGCTCCCGCACCACGCAAAACCGGGACGAAGTCGGGTCACCGAGACACCGGGGAGCTCAGGACGGGGACCGGAGCGCGACGAGCAGCCAGCACGGCTCTAGTTGGTCTCTGGCTGCAGGACCGGCAGAGGCGGTAAGGCAGCGGGGGACGGCCCTGGTTGAGGAAAGGGCGGGTAATCACCCCTAAAAGAACCCTAAACACTACCCGAGGGAAGAGCTCGCTCCGAGCCGCGCTGGGACCCGCGGTGCTAGGCGAGGCCCTCGGAGTTGAGCGCTGGCGGCTCCGTGGGACCCAGCGGGCGCAGCGGGGCTGGGGCCGCCCGTAGTCCGGAGCCCCGGCACGGCACGGTCGGTGCGCCCTGCCCGGAGCCAGCGTCTCGGGCGGTCTTCCCACGAAGCCCGGCCGGGCACTGCAGAGAACCGGGCAAGGGAAATTGAACCGCTGGTCGCCCTTTCCCGCCGGCCTCCGGGCCCAGGGGTGTACGACCCGCAGCAGGGAAAGGAGACGCGCGGCGGCAGCAGCGCCTGGTGTGGAAACGCCCGCATCGGGGATGCAAAGGACAGCGTGGCTCGATGACACCAACGACGGCCCCCCTGCTGGTGCCAGTCCACGGGCGCTGGTTCCAGGAGGGCCCGGGGCAGGTCGGCACGGGCTCGGCCCGCTGCAGGCGGCCGCGGTTCTCAGCGCTGGGCACAAGGTCGTGGCACCGGGCCAGGGATCGGCTGCCGAGAATCCCCGGAGCCTCAGGGAATTTCCATCTGAATCAGGCATTCTCTCCACCAGCAGCCACCTCCCGGGCAAGCCCCGAGCTCCTGCACGCAAGCAGCCGGTGAGCTCCGGGACACGTAGCGCGCCCTTATCTGAGCCCTCCGCCGTCGTGGCCCGCCGGGGTTCCCGTGTTACCCAGGCCATGCGGCACGTAGGGCCGCGGTGCCTCTGCCCGGCCGGGCAGCGGAGGGCTGACGGCGGCTGTGCTGAGCCAGGCCCGGTGCGGTCCGTCGGGGCCCCGGAGCCCCGGGGATGGGGCTCCAGCAGCACCATCTGCTGGTGAGGGGCCCGGCGCGGCGGGGGAGCCGGCACCCACCTGTGGACACCCCTTGCGCAGGGGTCAGGAGGTGCAGGGGCTGCGGGCAGCACCGGTGCTCCGGAGATCGAAGCACACAGATCGCGCCCGCAAGAGCGGGCCGAGCGTCGGGGGACCCGGCGACCGCCCTCGGGAGGCCTGGCCGGGGTCGGGTACGAGCGGCGAGCGCTGCAGGCCGATAGCCCCGGGCAGCCCGGCCCAGGGGTATTCTCAGCGCACGGGCAGCCCGCTGTCCCCGCCCCTGGGAACCCCCTCCAGCTTCTCCTGGTGCCCATGTGGAGCCACCTGCATGCCCCGATCGCCCTAGACAGGGTCCGGGAGGCGGAGGGAGCGGATCAGTGTCTCCAACTGCAGCAAGTCCCGGCGCTCGGCGGAGCTCCGCACAAAGGGAGGCACTCGGGCCTGGGTCCCTGGGAAGCCCGCGGGCAGCGCTGTCTTCCGTGGAAATCTCCACTCCCTTTGTCTCTCTGGCCCACGAAACTCTGAAAGACAAGGGGAGCAGTCCCAGGTCACTCAGGCAAGGGCTGCAGGAGCACGGAGCCACTATGCACTGAGTAGTAACGCGTGGGGGAGGATGAAACCTCTGGCTCTGCTAGGGGTGAGCAGGGAATGCACAAACTAGGATTTGTAGTGAAACCATCCCGCTAAGGTGGAGATGGGAGCAGGGCTTTAGCCGCGCCTGGAAAGAGGCTGCGAGTTCAGCGCGGGCTGAGCCAGAGCAGCAAAAGCGTGCCCGGGGCAGCGAAGCTCTGAGCGCTGGAATAAGTAAGAGGATCCCGGGAAAAGAGCTGTGCAATTTTAGCTGTGGAAAGCCCTGGCATCCCGGGACAGGAAAAAGGCAATTTAAGCCTGGAAATTTGTGTTCGGCTGCAAACACTTCAGCCGGGGCTTGCAATAGCGCTTAAAAATGATCCAGGATGTAAAGCCTCCGCATCAGAAGCTGCTCATTTTTTTCGGCCATCTCCTGAAGAGGGACGTAAGGTTTTGAATCATCTCGTTATTTTTAAATATTTTTTCCTCTATGTTTAGAAGCATGTTATATGTGAGCAAGGCTTCAGGGCTATTTATTGTGGCTACAGGCCGAAATTTTGTATCACGTCTTCCGTTGAGAATGGCTCTGTTTTTAAACAAAACTCAGTGCGTTCTGTAGTAAAAGACAGGAAAACCCCCCTCCCAAGTTATCCAGTTTAACCTCCTTCATATATTTTTTTTTCCTTACAAACAAACTACTTTGGAAGAGAAATGTGTTTATTCTGAAACGTTCCCCACAATTAGTCTCTGCTTTAAACGCAAACTCCGGATGCAACGAAGTCACTTATCTGTGGAGAGATCACCAACAACATAAAACAGCAGGGAAAGAGGCAGAAAAACCTCTCAGCTGCCGAGGTCACCTTCCAGATTCTGGGAAGACAACGACACTAAAGGAAATATTCGCTTACCTGTCCCTGCTGTCCAAACCAGCACCGGGAGCCTGTCCTGATCCTGTGCCCTCGGAAAAGCAATTGCACCCCACTTTGCATCTGGCTCGAGCAACGGCAAGTTAAATCTAAAAATAAAGTGGTTCGGGCTTTTTGCTTGATGGTTTGGCTTTTTTGATAAATTGTAGGTTTGCTGTAGAAAACCTTTAAACGCTAAAAAATCTTTGGTTATCTGCAAGCACTGGGGCAGCATTAGAGGTGCGGGGAGCCCCGGGCCCTGAGCGCGGCGCGCCCCAGGAGCCGCTGCCCCCGCCCGGCTTAGCTCGGGGATAGCCCGTGAACTTGCAAAGGAGGGCCACGGCCACCTCTTCCCCAGCCACGCATACCAGATAGGAGGTATCTCAATTTACACCAGCTGCGACCCTGGCTTTCCGTCCGCAGGGGCGGCGAAGCGCGGGTCCTTTCTTATATTACGATAATTACTTTAGAAAGCCTGACTCACATAAAAAGTATCTCTAAAGATTTACTCGCGGTTTTGTCAATTTTGAAATAGGTTTCTCAGTTTTCCGTCTACTCTAAACTTGCTGGTTTTAATCTCCAAAACAGTCATTGGGAAAGAAAACTGGGGGAGGAGAGACATTTCTATAAAGAGTTTAACTAAAGCACACTAAATATTTTCCCAACATCACCAAATAAACAACAATCCTCCAGCTCCCTATAAACTATTTAAAGCATGTCATATCATCTCTTCTGCTCTTGCCAATGTACTTTCCTTTTAATTTATTAAGCTGATTAGAGCAGGGGCCTGTCTTTTTGTGTATATTTGCAAAATGTTTGGCACCCTTTCAGTCAGTAACAGTTCACAAACACTTATATCTGCATTTAACTTCATTATTATAGGTAGTCTTTTCGATTTTTCCTCACTTTTGTAGAGCAACTGCCTGTGAAAGTGCTTTTTGTAAATGATCTGAGCAGTTGTTGAAGGGTTTCAGCAGAGGAAACCTCTTTGGATGGAGGGGAAAAAAAAGAGAGCGAGAAGAAAAAGCACAACGGAAATCTAAACTGAGATCTCAGGCTGTACAAACTGGCCCAAAAGAAAACGGGGGAATCTCCTTAAGAGGAACATTTTTAGTTCGCTAAAAAATAAACTTTACTCATAAATGATGAAAGTTATTATCATCAGAGGATGTGCTGTACCAAACAAACCTCCATTAGGCTGGGAATGATAAAACAGGCTAGACAGCCCTTTAAAAAAAAAAAAAATCATCATGTCTTTGATTTCCCAAGATATCAACCATGTCTGTTTCTGTAGTGCTGTCAAGTAAATCTGAGTTATGGATGCTCTAAAAGAAGCCAGCAAGGAGAAAATTCAGCAAGTGAAAATTAAGAGTGTTATCCATACTTTACAAGAACACTTTTTTTTCCAGACTCTTAAGCTCCTTCCCTGTGCTACACCATGACAATTTCTGAGAAGAACAAGACCAGTGAAAGTGGTAAGGCTGTGGTGATCAGAGCATGACAGATTCTTTCTATTGAACTTTTTTCTCTTTCTGCAATGCAGTGCCCATCATTTTCACCACAAGAGCTTTAATGTCTGGAATGCAACCTCCTAAAATTGCCAGTGCCTCAAGGTGGGTGTCGCACAGTCTGAACTCCGCTGCTGAAACCATTTTCTAGCATGTTTATGTATCATGTCTAACCTGATCAAACAGGCAGAGGACAGTTGCTTGATTTAATACAGTATCCAGACATTGCTCTTTAATGTAGGTGACCTGGGAAGTTCTGTAACAAGCAAATACATCTGTCTGAGCTAGAAGGACTGGCTGGTTAGGGAGCTCAGCCACAGCAGGAGGAAAGCAAGCCTACTGAGAGAGCTTCCTCCCTCCATACGTGCAAAAGGCAAGGCATCAATCAAACACAACTGCCTGGTCAGGAAAAGCACAGTTGGCAATGTTGTCTTTGCATTTTTGCCAGCATGAAAGGAACACAAACTGGCATTTCCAAATCTAGTCATAGGAAAACAGAACACGTTCTTTTGAGAGTCAATCCTGTACTCACTAGCAGCATAATTAAGAAACCTGTAAAAAATAAAAAGGGACAGGGACAAAAAGAAGGCACTGGCCCCATAAAGATTGTGCATGTGAGCTCTCCCTAGCTGGAACACCACAGGATGACACATGAGAAACTGGGAGGATGAAACAGAGTTTTAGGCAGCCACTGATCAATTTTTTTTTAAATTTTTTTTTTTAACTTTATTTCCAGTTCTGTGAGAAGTTAGATACCATGTACGTGATAGATTAAACAGCATTTGCTGTTTTCCCTTATCTGCCTTACTGTTTTCCTTTATCTGCCTAATTTGATGCATGGTCTCAAAAATACTCTGACAAGCTCAGGGTATCCTGGTCCTGCAGATTTGTCTGTGGAGAGACCTTGTGAGCTCCCAAGGTGTTGATCTCTCAACAGGATTTTTAAGGCACTAGAAAAACTGACATGCACGATTTCCATAACGCTTTGGGAACAGCTCTGGGGGTGGTCAAACCAGGTGCCATCTCAGCAGACAGAAATCCCCTTTGCCCAGTGCCTTTTCAGCAAGCATTAAAAAAACCCCAAAAAACCAAAAAACACCTCAGTGTACACCACCACCCTTGGATAGAGAATGCTCTTTGGCTCCGTAAACTTCTTTTTACTCCCTAATGGCCAGGTTTAAATTCACTTTTGTCTTTCATATCTTGAGAAGCAGCAAATGTGGCAGCAATTTGTCACAGTCAAAGAGATACCAAGGGAAAACACAACAGTGAGACCAGGGCTCTGCAGTGCTCTGAAGACCACAGTAGCCTAAGAAACATTTTCCTCAAAATGAGCCCAGCCCTGAGGAGCAGAGAAATGTGTAGAAATATCCCCATTTCACATCATCATGTGAAAAAGAAAAAGCAATGAATATAAGAATGAATGCAAGCAAGCATTTATCCCACCATCTGGGAGGAGATGCTAGACGTGAAGGAAGAGGTATTACAGGGGGGATGGTAAAAACTGACTGAGACCTTCTATTTTTCTGGAGGGATGCTTCACATTCCAGCAGCAAAAATGAAGGAACCGGACATGAGAAGTAGATCAGAGAGGGAAAATAGGAAAATAGGAAGATGGATGAAGTGCAAGACTGGAGGAGCAAACGAGTCAATTATGAAAAAAAGGAAGGAACTGTGTGCAGGAAATCAACGAGGAGATGGAGCTCAGGGGAAGAAACAGCAGCCAAAATGCTCTCAAATCAGAGATGCTGCTGGGGCGAGAGAGAAAAAAATTGGAATATTTCAGGTAATAAGAAAACTGTAAACCTCTGTCCTCTGCATGTATTTGAATATGGCACCTCTGTCACCAACTCTATTCAGACAACTGAATTCTACAAAGACAGGAGATATCAGCTATGCCAAAGTTGCAAACTGTTGGCTTGCCTTAGAGAAATCAGAAGCAACACATGAAACTCAGAGCTAGAGAGCAAGAGGAGGAAGCACTGAAAATCATGGGTCATACCTGAAAACCAGACAAGTAGATGAAGTAGAAACAAAGTGAAATGTCAGTGGTGTAAACACAGTGAATGCCCAGAAGGAACCTAAGAGATGAAGAGAGTCAGAAGTGAGTGAGTGAGGCCAGCAGTACATCACTGAGCTGTACTCATGGAGGGAGGAGGAGACAGGCTGTTGCTGGATAGACTTTAAAACAGTGCTCTGCTTCCATTGCCCAGCAAAAGCTCTAAAATAAATCCAGAAAAAGCATTCCTCTTTCTGCATAAATTCCACAGCCCTTACAGCAACACAGCCTCACCTCAGCACTGCTTAAGGGCTGACATGTCTGAAGAAGTGAGGGGGGAGGTGCAGAGTCCTTAGCCCAGGCACAGTAGCCTATTGCCCAGAAGAAAACTGCATGGAAAGTGCATATATTCATAGCACAGACATCTTTGTCCTTTCTACCACAGGCAGCTGGGTGTTGCCTTCTCCTTCTGTTAGTCCTTTAGTAACAGCAACATGGAGAAAGCTAAAAATAAAGCTATATAAGCAATGTAATAGGCATGCAATTGCATGTCTCTTTTCTTTGAAAAAATGATGCTCTATTTCCTGTTCAATGGAAACTACAGTTTGATGTTACAACTATTAGCTTTTGACCAAATGCAGAAATTTGACTGAAACAATGACATTTCCCCCTGTATTTACTATTACCATATGTCACTGATTATATATTTAAGTTGCAAAAATGAATTAAATTTCATGGCTTCCTCAAGTTAGACTGTCTTGGAATGGACTGTCTTTTGTTATTAACCAAAATGCTTGGAAAACAGTTTAAATCAAAACAGCAGACTTTTGGTATCATTTCAGGGGAAAATTGGTTATCACAAACCAAGTGCTTAACACATCATCATCCAGAAGGCTGGGTAAAGCTTTCCAAAGCTACAGCAACCATGGCCAGGATAGAGAAAAAGGGTTAATTGAACACCACAGACTCAGAGATGGAAAAAAAAGAGAAAAAGAGAGAGAAAAAAAAGAGAAAGACACTGTTTGAAGCTCCCTTGCCTGGGGTCTTATTCCTTCTGCCTCAGAAGTTATCATGTATCCCACATTACAGTGCTTGTTTGACTTACTTACGGAAAGTATCTTCTCTAAGCTGGTAACAGAGCATTAGGGATAATCACATTGCACATATGTTCCAGGAGAAGCCAGCCTTGTCCTTGCTAGATTTCTTCCTGCTTTCTGAGGGAAAAAAAAAATCTTTTTGTTTCTTTGTTTGTTTTTACTTCTTCTGTTTCCCATCGTGATCTGGACTGCTAACATTTCTATCCCCCCTAGCAGTCTCCAGTGGCTCCTGGCTCTTTTCTAAAGGACCAGCAGACAGCAGAGCCCCTGGGCTCCCATCAACCAGGAAGGAAGTGAATTGCAACCTACAGCCTCTTGGATTTTGACTTCAGACCTTAAAGTCAACGTGATGTAAGGAGACTTAAGTAAACTTCTCCTGTCCATGCTTCCTTCTTCCTCTAGGTCCTGTCTGGACCTGCACTGCTGGAAGAGGAGAGCAGTGACTAGAGAAGCCACCTCTGGCAGGGGTTGTGGATGTTGCAGGCTGTGACACACAAGCTGCAGACAGAGCTCAGATGTATGTAAAGCAGAACCTGAGCAGTGCTGGTGAGTGGAAATAAGGTTGTCATTCCTAACTGAAGACTTAAGGAAGAACAGGTAAGAGAAGTAGGGTTCAGCATAAGAAAAGGACAGCTATGCTGTGCTTGTTGAAGGACTCACCAGGCAGGATACAGACAGGACAGGCCTCAGTGAGAACCTTGAAAATTCATGTCATACTTTGCCAAAGACTCAATC